GCAAACTAACCAATCCAGGACTCACACTCCCACTACCTTCTCCATCTGGCACTTACACTCCCCTAATCACCCCAGGGCCAGGACCAGAGTCAGACAGCCAGAAACAGCCCAAGCCCCAGAAGCCCCTGAAATAATCCCAGCTAGCCAATCCGTAACCGCTGACCCTGCCCTGGCATGTCTTTTCTGTGCAGCCCACAATGAGGCCCTGCCTAGGCTTTCCTCTCGGTCCCTCTGCCACCTGACCCACATTGGTGCTTTGCAGTGCCCACTCCCCTCCCCTGCCCTACCAAGGTATGACCTGCCCCCTCCTCGTGGAATCCTGAGTAGCAAACGCTTTGGGGGGGTGGAGGTGGGAGGATTGCTTAAGGCCATGAGTTTAAGATCAGCCTGGGCAACACAACAAGACCCTGATTCTACAAAAAAAATTTAAAAATTAGCCAGGCAGCCAGGTGTGGTAGCCAAGCCTGGAATCTCACCACTTTGGGAAGATGAGTCGAGAGGACTGCTTGGACCCAGGAATTCAAGACCAGCCTAGGCAACAAAGTGAGACCTTGCCTCTACCAAAAAAAAAAATAAAATAAAATAAAATAAAATTATGGTAAAATTTAGATAAGATTTACCATTAAAAAAATTAGCCAGGCATGATGGCATGAACCTGTAGTTCCAGCTGAGGGGGAAGGATCACTTGAACCCAGGAGGTCAAGTTGGCAGTGAGCTATGATCATGCCACTACTCTCCATCCTGGGCCACAGAGTGAGACCCCAACTCAAAAACAAACAAACAAAAAATCTTGTCAATGGCAGTCATCTCTTGATGATTGAAAAATGATAGAGCCTACATTTTAAAACACCTGACTACTATCTCTCAGCCAAACAAAACAAAACCCATCCAGCAGGGTGGGGAGTGACCTTATATACTGTGTTATATTCTATGAGGTGGTGTAGTCTGAAAATGTGGTCGGACACTGAAGAAATGCATGTCCATAAGGCAAAGGAGGCTCTTAGTAGTTATCTTCATCTGCTATAACAGAATACACAGACTGGGTGACCTAAGCAACAGAAATTTATTCTTACAGTTCTGGAGCTTGGGAAGTCCAAGATCAAGGTGCCAGCTGCTTTGGTTCCTGGTGAAGGTTCTCTTTTTGGTCTGCAGATGACCACCTTCCCACTATGTCCTCACATGGCCTTTCCTTGGTGCAGGCAAAGAGAAAGCTCTCTAGTATCTCTCTTTTTTTTTTTTTTTGAGTTGGAGTCTCACTCCGTCATCCAGGCTGGAGTGCAGCGACATGCTCACGAACACCCCAGCGTTGACCTGCTGGACTCAGGTGATCCTTCTGCCTCAGCCTTCCAAGTAGCTGGAACTATAGGTGCCCGCTTCCATGCCCAGCTAATTTTTTGATTTATTGTAGAGATGAGGTCTCACCAAGTTTCCCAGGTTGTTCTTGAACCTGTGGGCTCAGGCAATCCTCCTACCTCAGCCTCTCAAAGTGCTGGGATTACAGGCTTGAGCCACCTCACCCAGCCTAGTATCTCTTCTTGTAAAAGGCCACTAATTCCATCAGATCAGGGCCCACCCTTATGACCTAATTTTACCTAACTACTTCCCAAAGACTCATCTCCAAATACCATCACATTGGGAGTTCCTAGGATGTCAACATATGAATTTTGCAACTACACAGTGGTGAGTCACTGGGGCCCCTTGTCCCTTGTTGCCAAGGTTGGCGACAGAATGCTGGACCAGAAGAAACCTGGAGACAGTGACCACATTTCTGGACTTAAAATCAGTATTCACAGTCTGCTAGTGGGACAGAACATTTGGAACTGGAAAAGCCTCTGAAAATCTGGGAACCATGAGGTTGCAAGCTGAGCTGAGCCAATTTGTGGGTCATGGTTGTCAGGTTCTTTGGGGTCACTGTCAATGGCCTTGGACTATTAGGGACAGGCTTGATTCCTACCAGGTGGTGCACTTGAGTGAAATCAGAAATCTACCATGCATGCAGGTCATCAGCAAGCAATCCACGGAGTAGTCAAGCATGCTGTCCTTGCAGGTGTCTGGGTGACAAATGTATTCATTTGACAATTCTGGGGGCCAGCAGTCTAACATAAAAGTATCAGCAACATTGGTTTCCTCTGAGGGTTATGAGGGAGAATCTGTACCAGGCCTCAATCCTTGGCTTGTAGAAGGTCATTTTCCCCACTGTCTTTATCTTTTCTTTCTTTTTTTAAAATAAGGACATAGATCATATTGGATTAAGGCCCATCTTAGTGACCTCACTTTAACTCGATTATATCTGCAAAGATCCTGTCTCCAAATTAGGTCACATTCTAAGGTGCTAGGAGTTATGACTTCAACATGCACATTTGGGGAGGCACGGTTCAGTCCCTAACAGGCAGCTTATATGCAAGGTCACCCCAAGTCGAAGGTCACACTGAGCTAAGGGTAGAGCTAGCTAGTCTTCTCCCAGGTAAGGTCACAGCACCCCCACGAAGTGGGGGTACTCAGGTCCAAAAGGGGTTGTGGTCTCAGAGGCTCACCAGGTTGGTAGGGTGGAGGTGCCTGTTAATGAACTAAATGTTTGTGTCCCTTTAAAATACATATGTTGAAGTCCTAACCCTCAATGTGATGGTGAGGTCTTCGGGAGGTAATTAGTTTTAGAAGCAGTCATGAGGGAGGAGCCCACATGATGGCATTAGTGTCCTTATAAGAGGGAGAGCGACCAGTCCTCTTTTTCTGTCTGGGCCCACACAAAGAGGTCATGGGAAGACATGGCATGAAGGTAGCATGTATGAATCAGGAAGAGACCCTCACCAGGAATCAGATCAGCTGGCACCTTGATCTTGGATTTTCAGTCTCCAAAACAGTGAGAAATAATTTCTGTTGTTTAAGCCACATCATCTGTAGTATTTTTGTCATAGCAGCTAACGAAGACATCTTCAAACTTCTGGCCAAACACAAGTCCTGAATGATTTCTAATGTCCATTATGCTAATGAGGAACCCTGTGGAGCTGGGACCAGAAGCCTAAACTTCCTTTGGGCGTGGTCTCCTGATGAAGGCAGCTCAAGTTCCACAAGGGCCAGATGACAATTTATTTACACACAGTCAAATCTATCACTGTCTCCGAATGGAAAGTTGTTGGTTTTTTTTTTTTTTAATTACTGGTCACATGACACACCATCACCATAATCTCAGTCACTTCCCAAGTGTGTTGCCTTAAGCAGTGGTGTTTTCCTCTGGTCTAACAAAGCAGCTGCTGTCCCTTGCAGCCAATCAAAGATGAGAGGCAGAAACTGGGAGAAAAGGGGCTTTAATTTCTGCAACCAGAGACATGTCCACATCATTACCAAAAATCTGCTCAAAGCAACACAAACTCTTTCCAGTATTTACACCCCAAATGCATAGCCCTTCACCCACTCCAAGTAAAGATTAAAAAGCCAAAGTGCAGTTTCAGCATGACTCAAAATCTACATTAACATTTTCTGATACATGACCACTGATGTGACTCAAAGTCTCCTGGTCATGCTGACATTTTTAGTAACATTCTGGAATTTCCTTTTTTTTTTTTTAAATTACAGTTTCCCAGAGGAAGAGACAGCCAATTGCAACATTTGGAAGGAAAGGGAAGTAATCACAATATTTTAAACGATAGCCTGAAAATCACATTTAGAATGAATTGCTTTAAAACTCAATTGTAATAATCCCATTTTCACAGCCCTCACTTATAATAGTGGCCCTGACCCCAGGTTTTCAAATTACCATATTTGTAGGTCTGAACCCAAGGGAGGTCTTGTTTCCCAAACATCAGCTGAGGAGAGGGTAGAGGTGGGTAGGGAGGGCGCAGGTGTCTTAACTGTGGGGCTGGCCCCCAACGGGTCAGGCTCATCTTTGTAGGCAGGCCCTGAACATGGAGACTGCGCAGAAGTGGGACTCCCACGTGGTCCAGCTCGGGGGTACCAATGGCTGGAGCGCAGGCAAGCGGCCGGGGTCTGGGGACCAGGTGCCTTGGCAACGGAGGGGACACTCGGAACCCCAAGGATCTCGTGGCGCAGCGGCCTGTACTAGGCTGGTGTGGAGGGACACTAGGTCCCGCAGGCCTCGTGGCCCCGCGTCAGCTCCAGAATACCCTAGGAGCGTCCTCCCACCTGCTCTGCGCGAAGGCTGAGTGGTGGCCTAGCCCCCGGGAGGTGCTGTGGACCGGATGTGCGTTCCCGGACCGGCGGACTCAGCATATGCTCGATTCCCCACCCGGCTCTACGCCTCTGACGCCCCCGGGAGTGGGGGTGGGGCACTGAGGGCGCGGCCCGGGCCTTGGGGGGGGGGCTCTGGGTCACTTCCGCGCTACCACCATCCCCGCCCGCGGCCCCGCGCTGACGCCCGCGGCCCCGCGCTGACTCCCGTGGCCCAACGCCGGCGTTTCCTCCGTGCTTCTCCGTGCCAGACGAGATTGTCCGGCTGGGTCCGGGAGTGGCGTGCCCGCAGGTCAGGGGCGTGATTGGCCCCACAGTCTTCCCGGCGCGCGGCACCGCGCAGGGCGTCTGGCCAGGGCCAGCAAACCTGTGTTGAATGAATAAATCAGTGAATGAACGAATACATGAATGATCGAACGACACTCCAGAGCCCTTGTTGAGCAAGACCAGAGGCAAGGCCAGCGTTTCAGGGGCGGCTGCCCTAGCCCACGTGCCCGGAGCGCAGCGTGGCGGGGGTTGCCGTGGCCTCGTCGGTGGGGGTCGAGTTTCGCGGGTACCCTTCCCGGAGGGGCGGGGCTTGCGCGGCTGTTCCCGCCCAAGCCCGCCCCAGGCCCGCCCCAGGCCCGCCCCCGGCGCCGCGCGGAACTCGCGGGTTCGGAGCTGCTCT